TGCTGCTGTCACCACTGATGTAATTGCTCCGAGTGGAAGTCAATAGTAAAAAGAAGGGCCGGTTTTTCAACTTTTAGGCCGTTGCGTTAGTCTTTCCTTCATTGTTGTACCTCTCAAAAGCTCTTCTGTTACTTCCACGGAGTGAACAACTTACCGTGCCACCTGAATGCGCAAACAAATGCTTGATATCTCATGAAAAGGATATCTTGCGCATACTCCGTGATACTCAACGTGGATTATGAGCGGCTGATACGCAGCTAATTTGAACACGCGAGAATTAATGAAGCCATGGAGCAAGCAAGGTCAGACAACTCGTCCGAACACGCCCCTCCTTCATATCGAGTGAAAGTGAGGGAGTCCCTGTTTGAACCTTCATCAACGGTTTGCTTTGCATCTTCTTGCACTTTCAGTCAGCTCGGTATCCGCAGTTCAATAATCGGTCACCGTGACCCTACCAATTTAATCTGGGTTGTTGCTTCAAAGTCCTATGAAGGTGTGCAGCGAAGCTTAAATTTCATACAGTCTAGGAGCTATTATTCAATCAAAATTAATACCTTACAATCTGAAAGTATGTTTTCTGTACAGCGAACAACTACGAGACGGTGTTGGACGATTTCTTGGTGACTATTTCTTTACATGTAGCCTCATCGAATTTGCTGATATATTAGCGGACAATGTATATGGTCCTGTGTATATGTACTACTTTACAATGCGGTAAGTTCTTCTCCCTTTTTCTCGTAATAGACTTCAAAAAGTAAATTATTGAGAATAACCATTGAAGGTCCACTGCGAACCCATGGCCGAAATGGATGGGAGTCATGCATGGTTATGAGATTGAGTACGCTTTTGGACAGCCACTGACCAGGCCGTCGCTCTACGACAAGGTAGGATATGGGGTTAAAGGGTAGCGTATGATAAGTTAGTGGTGTCTACTGAGCTTGGATGTTGCTCTGGGCTGGCAACCATCTCTCACAGATTTTCTTTTTCTCTTCTTCCATATTCAGAAAGCCATACGGTTGCAATGTAGGGGGTATGGTGCTTTTTTTGAACCAGATTACTCTCGAGCTTTCAGAGCCGACGGTGAACGGGTTAGGAAGCAGGCTCTTTCTGGAGAGCTCACAAGGTTGAGATCCTTTCACTAAAAGGCGCATCTCACGATTAAATAATTGGAGCAATCCTGCCCGATAGCTAGAGCAAATGTTTTACCGTTTGAAGGCGGCGTTTAGAAGAAAAAATAGCAGCCCTTCAGAAATAATGGTGGTCGTGGTTAGTGGTTCAGGGGTGAAGAAAAAACCATGATAAGCGACCCAGAACAAGAAATGAAACCCCTTCTTTGTCCGCATTGATACGTCAACGCCAACGCTTTCCCTGCTGACGCCGGGCAGGCGCGAGCGACGCGGGATGCTCTGCTAGGCCGCTGGGACGGTAGTAAAGTGCCATAGACTGGGAGTTAAAGGTGGTGAACTACGGCCGTAAGCGGTGAATAATGAAAGGCGAGACAGCCAGATGACCCCGCTCTGAATGGCGAGCTTCACTACATTCCTAGCAAAAGTCGCGTCGCCATGGACTTGAACCATATGTGTGTTGAGCGCGCAAAGTTCGGAACCACACACCACAAA